GGGAGCGGGGGGGGGGGGGGGGGGGGGGGGGGGCAGTTAGGGGCAATCATGCAGGCAGGCAGGTAAGCAGTTAGGAGCCAGTGGTCCTGGATTGTGAGAGGGATGTCCTCTGGATCAGGCCTAAACCGGCAGTCGGACATCCCCCGAGGGGTCCTGGATTGTAGAGGGTGCAGACTGGGCTGAGGGGACCCCCCATGCACAAATTTCATGCCCTGGGCCTCTAGTACACACAGACACACACACATACACACATACATACATGTACATATGTATATATTTTAAACTATTATTTGGTAAAATAATATTTTTATAGAAGTTATATTAGTAAAATAAGTTTATATAAGTTAAATAAAAATGAAGAAATGCTAGAAGTGAGAAGAAAAATAAAATGTATAAATCATCAAATGTTTACTTCTAATTAAGATTTGATATTACCAACTCTAACACTGAACATTATATCTTTAAAAAAACAGGACTAGAGAAGAGGAAAATACTTTCCAGAAAGGACTCTAGGTGGGTTTTTCCGGTGGGGAATTTACTGGGTGGGTCTGGATCCTGGGTAAGTCCATAACAAATGGAATGTGGTCTAAACAAAAGGGAATGTCAGTTGTGAAATGATCTAAAGGTCAGTTTCCCAGGGGAGGGGATATCAATTCAATTATTTGATCAGACTTAACACTTACTTCATAGGGTTAAAATGGGGATTGAATGAGTTAATTCAGTGATTACTCAGGTAAGGTCCATGGACTAGCAGCCTAAGAACTTGTCCTATATAATAAAGAGCTAATATGCTAATTAGACCAAGCGGCAGAATGACCATCTGGATGACCTTCTGGATGAAGCCTGGGCTGCGAGGGCCAAGACAGCTGGGACTGCGAGGGCTGAGCCCCTTGCACGGATTTTGTGCATCGGGCCTCTAGTTAGAAATATAATTCTAAGGTCTCAACCCAGATCTACTGAATCAGGAACACTCGGTAGATAATTAAGATTTGATATTACCAACTCTAACACTGAACATTATATCTTTAAAAAAACAGGACTAGAGAAGAGGAAAATACTTTCCATTGAAGATATGAAATCTTCAATATGTATATTTTATTTACCTAACTGGGCAGTAAGGACTCTTTTATCCTACAAGGGGGAAAAATACATACATACCCATAATTTCACATAATTTTGTCTATTATCTAAAATATATAAAGCCCAGAAGGGCAAGATTTATCTAACGTCTCAGTTTCCCTTTCTACTGATGGAAAAAGAAGTGGGTTTATTCTTTTTCGGTGTCAAAATTCTATGAGCACATATCTAACAAGAGTCCTTATAAAGTGCTTGAGCCTGGCAGGCATGGCTCAGCGGTTGAGCATCGACCTATGAGCCAGGAGGTCGCGGTTTGATTCCTGGTCAGGGAAAACGCTCAGGTTGTGAACTCAGTCCCCAGTGTAGGGGTGTGCAAGAGGCAGCCAATCAATGATTCTCTCTTATCATTGATGTTTCTATCTCTCTCTCCTTCTCCATTCCTCTCTGAAATCAATAAAAAAACATTTTTAAAAAAGAACACGACCTGAGTAGCTCCACAAGCAGCACATCAAAGGGAGGGCTCAGTCCTATCTGGTTTGGCTCAGTGGATAGAGTGTCAGCCTGAGGACTGAAGGGTCCTGGGTTCCATTCTGGTCAAGGGCACATGCCTGGGTTGTGGGCTCGGTCCCCAGTGGGGGACATGCAGGAGGCAGCAATCAATGATTCTCTCTCCTCATTGATGTTTCTATCTCTCTCTCTCTCTTTCCCTTCTTCTCGGAAATTAATAAAAATATATTTTAAAAAAGGGAGGGCTCATCAGGCACCGGACCCTGCTGGGGCAAGTTCTGCTTTGTGGGGTCAACCCTCACATAGCAGCTCATACACTGTGACAAGGTCAATCCTCACAAGTCAGTGAGCCTGAGAGTCAACCCCACCCATGAATGGGCCAAGAGCAATCAAGACTAAACTACAACAGGAGGGCTCACCTAACCTACAAAATGTACACTTCTGGGTCACCCAAATAAGGTGAAGATTCCATAAAAAAACTATGAAAACTGCCCAGCTGGTGTGGATCAATGGTTGAGCATGAACCTATGAACCAGGAGATCACAGTTCGATTCCAGGTCAGGGCACATGCCCAGGTTATGGGCTCGACCCCCAGTAGGAGGAAGCCAATCAATGATTCTCTCTCATCATTAATGTTCCTATCTCTCTCTCCCTCTCTCTTCCTCTCTGAAATCAATAAAAATATATTTTAAAAAGGTCAATGGAGCAAAATAGAAAGTCCCAAAATAAACCCACGCCAATATGATCAAGTAATATTTGACTGAGGCCAAGAATATACAATGAGATAAAGAAGGTCTATTCAGTAAATGGTGTTGAAAAATTGGACAGGTACATGCAAAATATAAACTAGACCACCTTCTTACACCATATATAAGAAAAAGCTCAAAATGGACTAAAGATGTAAATGTAAGACTCAAAACCCTTAAA